TAGAGTCAGTTGGGATAGTAAAATTAGTCTTATGTTCTGGTTTTGTTTTAGAGTTGAAAGATGTGCTATATGTGCCTAAGATGAGAAGAAACTTAATTTCTGCCTCTAAAATTGTAAAAGATGGTTTTTCTTTTCTTGGTGATGATGAGTGCCTCAAAATTTTCAAGAAAAACTGTCATAACACTATTTTAGGGACTGCCCTTTTGTCTGATAATTTATGGAATCTAAATTGCACTGTTAAGGCACTCAATCACACAATTTTCAGCATTAGTACTAAGAGAATGATAGGTCAGGATACTTCCTACATTTTATGGCACAAAAGACTAGGACACATCTCTAAAGAAAGGATAATTAAGCTGTCAAAAACTGAATTGATTCCAAAATTAGATCTTTCTACTGCAACTGAATGTGTTGACTGCCTAAAGGGTAAAATGACCAATTTTAGAAAAACAGATGCCAAAAGGAGCCAGGGGTTACTTGACATCATACACACTGATATCTGTGGTCCTTTTCCAGTTAAGACAATATGTGGAAACAAGTATTTCATTAATTTCATAGATGATTTTTCAAGGCTGGGATATACCTTTCTTATTAATGAAAAAGCTGATGCCCTTAAGTGTTTTATAATTTACAAAACTGAGGTTGAAAAACAATTAGGCAAGGTTATTAAAATTGTTAGATCGGATAGGGGAGGTGAATACTTTGGCAGGTACACTGAATCCGGGCAGCAAAAAGGACCATTTGCTCTCTATCTTGAGAAGAATGGTATTGTGGCGCAGTACACCACACCTGGAACACCTCAACAGAATGGTGTTTCTGAAAGGAGAAACAGGACTCTTATTGGTATGGTTAGAAGCATGATGTCCAGATCAAAATTGCCAGGATTCTTGTGGGGAGAAGCTTTGAAAACAGCTAATCACATATTGAATCGAGTTCCAAGCAAGGCAGTATCTACCACACCCTATGAGTTATGGCATGGGAGAGTTCCTAGTTTTAGTTATTTCCATGTTTGGGGTTGTAAAGCAGAAGCTAAGTTATATAATCCTAATGAAAGAAAGCTGGATTCAAGGACTCAGTCATGTTACTTTATTGGCTATCCTGAGAAATCAAAAGGATACAGGTTCTATATCCCTCAAGGTCACACTCGGATCCAAGAGACACACAATGCAGTTTTCCTAGAAGATGAAGATGTCTCTCATTTGTCAAGGGAAAATTTCATATTTGAAGAGATGCATTCAAATGGTGGGGACCATGTGACAATGGATTATAATCAGGTCTCATTGTTTCCCAATCAATCATCAATTGCCATTGAAGATATGAGTGAAGATTTAGGAGTTCCTGATGACAACTCTGTAGGAGTTGATCCCACAACACAAGCTGCAACAATTCCTTTTGAAGAAGCATGTGAACCAGTTACTGTTCCACCTTCAGTTGAAATCAGAAGGTCCACAAGAGCTCGGAAAACCACTGCAAGCAATGACTATGTGTACTTACAAGAGACTGAGTTCGATATTGGTGACATTGATGATCCTCTTACATATACTCAGGCAATTGAAAGTCCTCAAGCAGTTCTTTGGAACAATGCAATAAAGGATGAGTTAGATTCAATGTCCAAAAACCAGGTTTGGACATTGGTGGAATCCAACTCTGAAATTAGGCCAATAGGCTGCAAGTGGGTATATAAAACCAAAAGGGATGCTGATGGAAGAATTGAAAGATATAAAGCAAGGTTGGTTGCTAAGGGGTTTACTCAAATGGAGGGAATCGACTATAATGATACTTTCTCTCCAGTTTCCTCCAAAGACTCCATGCGAGTTATCATGTCTTTAGCTGCCTACTTCGATCTTGAATTACATCAAATGGATGTAAAAACCGCTTTTCTTAACGGAGACTTACAAGAGGCTATATACATGAAACAACCTGTTGGATTTGTTGAAAAGGGGAAAGAGAATTTGGTATGCAAGCTCAATAAGTCCATATACGGCTTGAAACAAGCATCAAGGCAATGGTACCTAAAGTTTGATCAAATTGTCTCTGCACAAGGTTTTGTAGAAAACAAACTGGATGATTGTATATACATTAAGTTCTCAGGTTCCGAGTTCATTTTCTTAGTACTTTATGTTGATGACATTCTCCTAGCTAGTTCATGTCCCCAATTGCTTCATAGCACTAAGAGAATGCTAAGTGATAACTTTGAGATGAAAGATCTTGGAAAAGCACATTATGTACTAGGAATAGAGATTGTTCGAGATAGGAAAAGGAGGCTCCTTGGTTTATCTCAAAAAGGGTACATTGACAAAGTGTTGGAGAAATTTCATATGGCAAGTTGCAATTGTGGTTAGGTTCCAGTCAATAAAGGTGACAAGTTTTCGAAGATTCAATGTCCAAGATCTGATTTGGAGGTGAAGAAAATGCAAGCTAAGCCGTATGCCTCATTGATTGGAAGTCTTATGTATGCAACTATCTGTACAAGGCCTGATATTGCCTTCATAGTTGGTATGCTAGGACGATTTCAAGCAAATCCTGGAGAAGCACATTGGGTGGCAGCCAAGAAGGTTCTTCGATACTTGCAGAGAACCAAAACTCACATGTTAGTATATGGCCGAACTGATTCTTTGGAGCTCAGGGGGTATACAGACTCGGATTTAGCTGGAGATGTGGATGACAGGAAGTCCACAGGGGGTTATATCTTCATACTCAATGGAGGGGCAGTTTCGTGGAAAAGTGCGAAGCAAACTATTATAGCCACATCAACTATGGAAGCTGAGTTTGTAGCCTGTTTTGAAGGCATGAAACAGGCAGCATGGTTGAAGAATTTTTTGACAGATTTAAAGATTGTGAATTCGGTTCAGAAACCAGTAACAATGTTCTGTGATAATAACTCGGCTGTGTTTTTTGCTAAGAATAATAAAAGGACTTCAACATCTAGATTGATGGACGTGAAGTTTCTTAAGGTCAGAGAACAAGTCAAGAAAGGAGTTATTGAAGTACAGCACATTAGCACTACTATGATGATTGCTGATCCTTTGACCAAGGCACTGCCAATTGGAGAATTCAAGAAGCATGTTTCTTCAATGGGAGTACTAGAAGGTTTTGATCAGTGGGAGTAATCACGTGTGTGTTAAGGGCTTGGGATTGCAGAAGTATATGTGTTTCAAGAACTGTATGTGCAATTCTGACAAGCTGAGCTAAGGATGATTTATGTTTTAACTTGCTTTAGTTAGTTTGTTAAGGTTGTTTGTGTTTTAATAAGTGTCCTTGTCTGCTACTTGATACTTTGGCTTTCAGGTGTTGAGGTACGGATACTGGACTGAGTTAGAATTCAGTTTCATTAGTAACTTTGAAAGAACAGTTTGTCTGTTTTTAAGTTTGTGGTTAATGATTTTATATAGTCAATTACTATGTTGCTTTTCTGTGAAGATTAATGTGTGTTGTGATCTTTTGAAAAGTGGGAGCATAATGTTTGACGGTTTATGTTAGTCATGAGTCATATTTGCAAATTGAATATATGTGAGCCTTGAATTAATACTACAATTTGGTTGTGGTCTAAGATTCTTGGTTTCTATATTTTGAGATGTAATGGGACAGTGGTCATGATGATTAAATCTTAGATGAGGTTATGTGATCACTTCTTATGATTGGTGACGGCAAGGTTTGATCTTTGTCTCATGTTCAAGTGGGAGAATGTAAGAATGTGAACGTGAGATAAGATGATCAGATATTAGTTGTTTGAGTCCAATCCGAATAAGAAAGCCTCTAAGAAGATGGAATTCAGTTCTTGGTAGTAGAGGATTCTATTGCAGGGAAAAACTGATTTGAATTAGGAAGGCTTAAGTAGTTTTCCATAAGGATTTTAATAGGGAATCCATATTCTAGTATGAGAAGGATATGTATGTACATATATATATATATATATATATATATATGGCAATCTCTTCTCTCACAGGTGTGTGCTCTTTTGGAACTAAGCCCTATTCTTAGTTTGAGTGATAAATACCCTGACAGAGAGAAGAAGAATTGCTGTGCTTTTCAGGTTGATCGAGATCCACCATGACTGCATCAAACGGGAGTTCTACAGGTTAGTATAATTAGGTTTTATTTGGATTGATGTTTTGTGTCTATTTGGTTGTAGTTTAAGTAACTGAATCTTGCAGTTAGATTAGTGTTTAACACATGTGTCACCTTTTACGGATTAATGTAACACATTGCCTGTCCCACTTCCAATGTGAATCCCATTGCGAATCCAGTCGTCACGGTATACCCAAGCATCCCAACCAATATCAAGAATTCCAAGAATCTGTTGTGAACACGATATATGCTAATAAGTTGGTAGCATGATGAAAAGTGCTACCAGCAAAAGACATGTTTGGTGGATATCATTAGACATGGACAACGATGTGTTAAAAAGGTAGATGATGCGTGACTTACCGCTCCACCTTTCCATGGTACAAAAGTTGGATTTGATGTTGATTGCAAGACCTATTTTACATGATATAATCCACATATGAAAAACTATGGTCGAGTTATTTTCGGTTACAAGAAGGAAGGGTTTAAAACCATCAAGGATAGAAGTAATAAACTTACCTCAACAGTATCAATCGCTTCATTTGAAGGAATTGCATGTAAAACCCTGCAAAAAGGAGAATGATAATTTAGTCTTATAAGGGTTTGAGTGAAAGTTCCATTCCCATTCAATAGCATTTATTAAATAAGCACACGTGCATATCAGGCTCTCGTAAGCATCCAATTTTATTGAAGCGTACTTAAAAACTAGAAATTCTGCAGAAAGTTGTAATGGGGTCCATCGTCCATGCAAAGAAGGGCACACAGCAAACCACTTTTCAAAGCATGGAGACCTATGAACTAAAACTCGCCGACCTCTATGAGTTTATGAACATAACCACAAGTCTAACATAGGTTTTCTCTAAATGAATTTGAGGTTACACCTAAAACTAATTGGCAATGGGAGGAGGAGGAGTAACCCTACTCCCTATGATCCCATTCTAGCATGTCCTCGTAGTCACGAAACCTATGTAAGTAACCAATCCAATATTTATTAAGAATAAGTGATTTATCCCAAGTATTATTATGTCGCAAAGATGTTTAACTCGGAAAACACGACTAACCAAACACTGGGTGGAGGAGGATATGCATCTGGGACCAAAACCATTGGGAAGAACAAACCCATAGGAGGGACCTACGCAAGAGAAAATTATAAAAATTTCACAGAAAGTTATATTTCAGGACTAAAGCAGCTATAATTCACTTTAAGAGACTCACATTGAGAGCAGTTAATCGTGTATTATGAGATCCAGCTGGCATGCCATCTTCATAAGAATGAACTACACCAACAGCATCAAGCTCCCCCTCCTGTATAAAGGAAACTAAGTAATTAGAAAAGCATAACCCGAGAACCAAGTTAAAGGACCCTTGTCCAACACATTCTACACTATGATATGCAAATAATAACCACTACATATTGTAACAATAAGAACAATTTGTCTAGTCCCTGGTAAAAATGATATCAACTGAAGTTACAATTGTTGGAGTATGTGGCCAAGTGGCCAACTTTTGGCTATAAAAAATTATAAAGAAAAGAAAGGACAACATGATTATGTTTCCTTGTTTTGTGGCTTTTTTTAAAGCCATAATTATGAGGCTTTTTTCGGATAGAAGAAATAAGGAAGGAAGAGCTCATTTTCAGTATGTGAGCTCATTTTCTGCCGAGAGCAAGGAGAGTTGTAGAGAGCCCAAAAGAAAGAAGAAGTTGCTGCTTCATTTGGTTAGTAATCATCCACCAAAGTAGTTGTTGTTGTAATAGCTTTGAGCTATATGTATAGAGAAGAAATTATACATTATATTTCTTTCTCTATTTGTTTTTGTGGTGTGTGAGAGCTATTGGGTGTATTGGGTTATTTGGATTGTGAGATTGCCAACACTTTGTAAACTCCCATTTGGTTGATAGTGGATTATTGGGTGAGCTCCTATTGCTCCGAGGACGTACTCCAGTTACACTGACTGTTGAGGAACCTCGTTAAAATCTTGGTGTCTTTAATATTTTGTTCTTGCATTTCATTTGATATATTTCATGTAGGTTAAAAAGAGTTGGTTCTAAAAGGTTTGGTGCTATCCTAGCACAACAATTGGTATCAGAGCACTGGTTGCTCTTGGGTACTGTCTAGTTGTCAAAGATGTCAGACGGGCAAGATGAAAATCCTTTTGGAAGCAGCTCCGGGTTTGCAAGAACTACGGTGCAAAATGCAAAGTTCGAAGTGGAAAAGTTTGATGGCACAAACAACTTCGGGATGTGGCAATGTGAGGTCAAAGATGTGTTGGCTCAACAAGATCTACTTGCCGCTTTGGGAGAGAAGCCGGAAGCTATGTCGAAGCCGGAATGGGAGAAATTAAATTTGTGGGCTTGCTCTTCAATTCGGTTGTGCCTTGCAAAAACTCAGAAGTATTTTGTGATGCGCGGGAGACGGTAGCAAGTGTGTTGTGGCAAAAATTGGAAGACAAGTATATGACGAAGAGTGCAGAGAACCGGCTACACTTGAAGAAAAAGCTCTACCGCTTTCAATACAAAGAAAGTACAAAAATGATTAGACACCTTGATGCTTTTAATAAGTTGATTGCCGACTTGTTAAATTTAGATGAGGATATTAAGGATGAAGATAAGGCCTTAATATTGTTGAATTCCTTGCCGGACTCTTATGAGCATTTTGTTACCACTATTATGCATGGTAAAGAAACTGTAAAATTTGAAGATGTGTCAAATGCCTTGATGAATTATGAAATGAGGCATAGATAAAAATCATGATATTACCTCTGAAGCTTTATTTGTTAGAGGTAGATCGTCGGAGAGGAAGTCATCTTCTAGTAGGAAAAAATCACACTGTCGACCTAGAGGAAACTCTAAAGGTAGAAAAACCTTGGAAATGGATGAATGTGCCTTTTGTCATAATAAGGGCCATTGGAAGAAAGATTGTCCTAGGTTGAAGACCAAAGGCAAAGAAAGTTCTGAAGCTAATGTTGCTGAGGTTGAAACCGATTTTTTTGATTTTGCTTTAACCACTTCCTCATCATTTGATTGTGCTACTAAGTGGGTGTTGGATACGGGTTGTACTCATCATATGACTCCTCACAAGGATTGGTTTTCAAGCTTGAAAGAGTTTGATGGTGGTGTTGTGTTCATGGGAGATGACAATCCTTGCACAACAAAAGGGATTGGTATAGTTCGTTTAAAGTTGCATGATGGCATGGTTAAAGAGTTGATAGGTGTTCGGTATGTACCGAATTTGAAGAAAAATCTTATTTCTTTGGGTACTTTGGAATCCAAGGGCTTCAGGTTTCATTTAGATGGATAGACATTGAAAGTTACTTATGGTCCACTTGTTGTGATGAAAGCTCCTCGATGTGGCCATTTGTATTTATTGCAGGGAAGCACTGTGACAGGTGAAGCATCTGTAGGCTCTGAAAATATGGGCACATCTGATTCAGATACTACTAGATTATGGCATATGAGATTAGGCCATGCCGGTGAGAAAGCTCTACAAGGGCTTGTGAAAAAAGGTCTTCTAAAAGGTGCCACGACTTGTAAGCTTGATTTATGCGAGCATTGTGTCTTGGGGAAGCAAACTAGAGTGAAGTTTGGTACTGCTGTACATCAGACGAAGGGCATTCTTGATTATGTGCATTCAGATGTTTGGGGTCCTACAAAGACTCCCTCTTTGAGTGGTAGACATTGGTTCATGACCTTTGTTGATGATTATTCAAGAAGGTCTTGGGTCTACACTATGAAGCACCAGAGTGAGGTGTTAAGCATTTTCTTGGGTTGGAAGAAAATGGTTGAGAACCAGACTGGGAGAAAGATTAAGATTTTTAGATCGGATAATGGTGGTGAATACACATCCGACCCTTTCTTTAAAGTTTGCAAAGAAGAAGGGATTATAAGACATTTCAGTGTCAAGGGAACTCGACAACAAATGGAGTTGCAGAAAGATTGAATCGAACCTTACTTGAAAATGTTAGATGTATGTTGTCTCAGTCGGGTTTAAGCAAGTCATTTTGGGCAGAAGCAGTTAATTATGCATGTCACATCATGAACCGGTTACCCTCAGCTGCTGTTCAGGGTAAGACACCAATGGAGGTATGGACTGGAAAACCTTCTTCTGATTATGACTATATCCGTATTTTTGGTTCACCTGCTTATTTTCATGTGACTGAAAATAAACTTGATCCTAGAGCCAAAAAGGCTATCTTTCTTGGTTTTAGTAGTGGTGTCAAAGGTTACAGGTTGTGGTGCTCAGAGATGAAAAAACTTGTAATCAGCAGAGATGTGACATTTGATGAAGAAAGTATGTACAAAGTCTTTGAGAAGAATGTGAAAGATGTCCAATAGGTGGAGCTTGAGAAAGTTGCCTCTGGTACTTCAAATCCTATTTCCGCTGATGTCGAAGCCACCACAAGTGAAGAAGTTGGAGACCATGAGGATGTTGAAGAAGTTGAACTTGAAGATTCTATTCAAGTTGAAGAGCAAGTTTCACCTCAAGAGTCTATTGCCAAGAACAGAGGAAAGAGACAAATTACCAAGCCAGCTCGGTATAGTGACTATGTTGCTTTTGCTCTTCCTATTATCATTGATGATATTCCATCCAATTTCGAGGAAGCCATTGAGAGTGAGGAGAAGAAGAGGTGGTGCAATGCCATGGGTGATGAGATGAATTCTCTCTTGAAGAACAAAACTTGGGAGTTAGCTAAATTGCCTAAGGGCAAGAAAGCTATCGGTTGCAAATGGGTGTATGCCAAGAAGGAAGATGTTGATGAGAAAAGCAATGTGAGATTCAAAGCAAGATTAGTTGCTAAAGGGTATGCACAAAATGAAGGCATTGACTACAATGAAATATTTTCTCCAGTTGTGAAGCACTCCTCAATTCGTATTATGTTAGCTCTTGTTGCACAGTATGATCTTGAGCTTGTGCAACTTGATGTGAAGACGGCTTTCCTACATGGTGATTTGAATGAAGAGATTTATATGTGTCAACCGGATGGGTATATAGTGAAAGGGAAGGAGAACTTGTTTTGCAAATTGAAGAAATCACTATATGGCTTGAAGCAATCTCCAAGGCAATGGTATTTGAGGTTTGATAAATTTATGAGAGGCCAAAATTATTCTAGAAGTCAATATGATCATTGTGTGTACTTCAAGAAGTTGCAAGATGGGTCTTTCATTTATTTGTTGATATATGTTGATGATATGTTGATTGCCTCAAAGAATGTCGAAGAGATTGAGAAATTGAAGAAGCAAATGAAGAATGAGTTTGAGATGAAGGATCTTGGTGAAGCGAAGAAGATCCTTGGCATGGAGATCACTAGAGATAGAGCAAAGGGTTTCGTCAGTTTGAATCAAAGACAATACCTTGAGAAGTTGATTCGGAAGTTTGGAGTTCATGATTCAACAAAACTGGTTAGTACCTCTTTGGCTCCTTATTTTAAATTAAGTTCTCTACAGTGTCCTAAAACTGATAAAGAGAAGCTACAAATGAAAAATATACCATATGCAAATTTGGTTGGTAGTTTGATGTATGCAATGGTATGCTCTAGACCGGATATTGCTCATGCAGTTGGCATGGTGAGTCGATATATGTATAATCCAGGTAAAGAGCATTGGCAAGCAGCTAAGTGGATATTGAGGTATCTTCATGGTACTCGAGATGTTGGTTTATGTTTTGAGAGAGATGACTCTGGTATTGGTCATTTTGCAGTTGGTTATGTTGATTCAGATTATGCAGGTGATCTGAATTGAAGGAAGTCTACTACAGGCTATGTGTTTACTATGGCTAAAGGGCCAGTTTGTTGGAGGTCCATTTTGCAGTCGTCTGTTGCCTTGTCTACTACAGAGGTTGAATATATGGCAGTTGCTGAAGCTATAAATGAGGCCATTTGGATACATGGGCTGATTAGAGATTTGGGGGTTGATCAGAAGCAGGTGGAGGTACATTGTGATAGTCAGAGTGCCATTTATTTGGCTAAGTATCAGGTTCATCATGCGAGGACCAACCTTAGTCAACATATCAGCGGGGTTGTCTTTAGTATCAGGTTCATCATTCTCCAGAAGATTCCAACTAAAGACAACCCCGCTGATATGTTGACTAAGGTTGTTGGTGTAGCCAAGTTTGTTCATTGCTTGAACTTGGCTCATATTTTGCCTATATAAAGAAGGCGTTGAGCAGTAGGAGTTTTGGAGCATTTGGCTCGGCATGAGTTGTTCTCTTGCTAGTGTTTGGGAGTGATGTTGTGTGTTAATTGTGTTAGTTGGCTTATCATGGCGTTTTTCGGAACTTGGCCAAGGTGGAGATTG